ATTAGAAGCAGAGCGAAATTAAAATGCAAAGGAATCTTTATTTTCAGGATCGGGCGAAATCGAATTTGAAGAATTTGCTGCAATGGTGGCGAGTTTCGTTGTTGAGGACGATAATGCTGGTATGGAAGAGGAACTGCGAGAGGCATTTCGTTTATACGATAAAGAGGTAGCACACGGCTGTCTGGAAAAATCAAATAATTTTTTTTTTCTAAATCTTTCGAATTCTACCACTTCTCTCGGCTTCGGGGATTTCGTTTTTCGCTACATTTGATTATTTCAGAGTCAAGTAAAATGCTCTATTGGCCAGCGTTTCGTCCATCGGCTTTTTCTATGTAGCAAAATTTCGCTCTCTGTTTCTAAATTTCTCGTGCTTTTTGACCATTTGCTAACAATTTTGGGTTAGCTGGAAGCGCGACAGGACGGATAGGTAACCGTTACTTATTATTAAATGCTAAGTTTATTAAAAGCTTTCATCCAATAAGAAAAAGAATAGGACCAGGCCCGTACAGAACTCAAAACATGATTTACTTACTATTTTTAGTAACCATTTATTTTTAAAGGGCAATGGATATATCGCCGTGTCAGATTTGCGCGATATCTTACGAGCTTTGGATGAAAATGTATCAGAGGAAGAGCTGGACGAGATGATCGCCGATATTGATACTGATGGTTCCGGTACCGTAGATTTTGATGGTATGTTCTTCCTAGCCAGGAATTGATTTTGATGATGAAAAACTAAACGGAAAAGTCCACAGTTGGGTAGTTGCTGACGTTATAACTTCGAACGGAACAAGCTGAATGACAAACAACTTGTATATGTCGCATGGACAGTGGATACCAGGTGTTGTGGAAGTCTCGCGAAAAGCCGGCAAAGGAAGTATGTGTATGCAAATGGGCATACAGCGTATATATATATAAAATGGGCATACATATATGTATATATATAATATAAGTGACGGAGCGCATATATATAACTGACGTAGCGCAAGTAAAAAAGACGTGCCTTTAATAAGGGACCAAGGGAGTCCGTGTTTTGTGAGTAGTCGAGGGAGAAGATCATGCAGACGTTGGTCCGGTGTCGAACTGGTGTTGGTATTAAACTGTGTTTATTCTGAGATAAGGCTCCCTTATATAACAAAATGAATGCCACACCTCCCCGAT